AGCACGGAAGGACAGCGAATAGCTTTGCCGTGTCCAACTTTCCCGGTATTACCCGCGCTAGCGAGAATGATATATTTACATAAAAGGAGGATATTCTGGCCATACAATCGCAAAAGAGCTAATTTATGTAACGAGCGCATGCTTCGCCTGAGCCGTCTCAGGCTCAGGCTCGAATTGAAGCCCGGGGAATGACAGGGATGTCTCATGTCTTTTGGGTAAATAGTCAACTTCTAAATTGTCAGCGCAGCCGTACATCCTCAGCATACCCGCAATTCTGCCATGGTTATACGACAACTCCTCCGTCTGCTCGGCATAGCCAGCATAATACAAAGGTATAAACCCGGGCGGAAGTCCGGGCGGAAACACAGGCGTCAACCTGTTCATATCGCTCAGATTCACGTCTACGTCTTTCCTTTTCAAAATGGCTTTGATCGTCCGTACACGCACATTCTCTATGGCATACGACAGTGGTGTTCGCCCATTATTATCTTGTGAATTAATGTCCAAGTCGGCGCGCTCCAGAAGAAGATCCACGGTGACACGTCCTCGCTCTGCTGCATAGGAAAATGGGGTCCTGCCCTTGTTGTCCTTCTCACTGATGTCCTCGTATCCACCATTGAAGTCCGGAATGTCAATAGAAAGTACAGTTTTCATGTCCACGATACCTTGCTCCAAGAAAACCTTCACAACATTAGTATCGTTATTCTTAATGGCGTAATATATGGGCGCGTGGCCAACATTATCCATAACATCGGGAGACACATCGGTTCGTCCGAGTAGAAGACGAATGACCTCGAGGCGTAGGTCAATCCGGTAATCTGGTATTGGTAGTAATGTTTGACTTTTCAGCCACGAAGGTTTGCCGAGACCAGTGAAGGGGAAGGTCGTGAGTTCTGTGTCCCCAGAGTTTCGATACACTTTTATATGCATGATACCCTGATTTGTCACGGCGTAAAATAGAGGTGTCCAGCCTTTGTTATCTTTGATATCGGCCTGCAGGTCCTTCCGGCCAAGCAAACGGTGCACCATATGACTGTAGCAGTACTGGGTGGCATGAGAGAGTAAGGTCTTGCCTTCGTTGTCCTTGACGTTGACGTCCAGGCTTTCACCGCAGACATCCAAGATCAAATCTAAAACGTCTACGAGCCAATGGCGAGCAACGAAATGAAGAAATGGGATGCCGTCAACATCTTGGTGATTGATATCCACATCGTTTCGTCGCAATAAAACTTCCACGATATCCAGATGCTCATTAGATGCAGCGTAGACAAGCGGTGTTCGGCCGGTGTTGTCCTTGATATTGCTTGAGCGCAGACCGTTTCGCTCTAGTAGAAGCTGCACGATATCGAGGTGACCATATTGGGCTGCGTATGAGAGTGGAACCCTGCCGTCCTGGTCCTTAATATCGACACTGGCATCTTCAACATCCAAAATCATCCTCACTATCGCTAGAAGACCGCTCTGGGCTGCGAATGACAATGGCGTCGTGCCATACATATCTTGTGCACTGATTTCCACATCGCTTCTCCTCAATAACATCGCTGAGATCTCCTCACGGGCCCCTTCCGAAGAAGATGAGGGATATGGATCCTGGAAGTAATCGCTGGCAACGATAAGCTGAGCTAATACCGTTCGACCGAAGTCATCACGGGCATTAGGATCCATTCCACTATGCTCTAGCAGTGCTTTGACGGCGTCGACTCTTTTGGAGACAGCCGCATGTGCCAGCGGCGTCACCCCACAGAAATCCTTCGAATTTACATCGACATCATCGCGCTGTATCAGCAACGCTACAACACCCGCCCGCCCTTCCTGAGCAGCATATGAGAGTGGCGTCATTAGACGGTCATCCTTCCAGTCAGGTTGGATATCTGTTCGTGCAAGTAATAACTGGGCAATGTCCACGCTAGCGACATCGGCTAGTATCGAGCGGGTCCTCCCGACAGGATGTACAGTCATCCCTTCCACCCCTAAAAGCAGGTTGACCATGCCCATGCTTCTTCCCTGCACCGCCAAAGAAAGCGCACTCTCCGGAGTCACTTCCCTACTGATCGCGTTGATATCTTTCCTGATACTGTGTGACTGAAGTAGCAGCTTGACCGCATCCTCAGACCCGACACTTACAGCCCACATCAACGGTGTCCGGCCCCAACGATCCGTAATACTGGTATTAGCACCATGGCGCAAGAGACACGCAACAACATTCACCGTTGCCGCACGGGTAGCGTAAACCAATGGTGTACGTTCCTCTGCGTCGGCGCAATCAATATTCGCTCCAGAGGCTAGAAGTAACTCTGTGGTTCGCAGCATGCCAAAAGATGCAGTGATATGCAAAGGCCAAATCCCTTGTCCAAAAGGCACAATGTGTGGTCCTCCGTAAAGAGCACTAATCCGTTGCTGGTCACGTAAGAGTCGAAGGATATCAGTTTGTAGGAAGTCTTCGAACTGGATACAATGCAGGCCCCAGTAACAAAATGCATACGCGAGAAATGGATATCTCCGCTCGGAATGGGGATCTACTAATAGTCGTGTAACATCAAAGGATCTGAAAGCGAAGCCGGGTATATCGAGATGGACATTTTGCAGGAGCATATAACTTAAGCACGATCTTGCGATGTCGAGTTGAATATTGGGGAAAAGATCCGATTGTTTTGCTTCGAGAAACTCCTGAGTTGTATAATCTACGACACGATTAGATACTAGACACTTGACATGATGTCGTGAAATACTGACGGACGAAGCAAAACGTGGGTGACGGAGGGTCGTCTGGATAGTCCGATTCAATGGGTGTCACAAGCTCAATGACTACGAGTCCAGCGCAAACTGAACATAAGACGTCGCTTTCAGTGATATTCTCCACATCTAACTCTTGTGCGCCCGGCTCAACAGCGAATGCATGCTGTAGCTCCATAACAGTTAAAGGACGCTTCGCAAACGCGATCCACGAGAGAATGCGGTATGCAAGCTCTTTGCGGTGCTTCCCTTGACTGTCGATCCGCTGTAATGCCTCATTGTATGCGTCCGCGACAGTATCAGGAAGTTCTGCAAGCGCATTACGCAGATGTCTGCGATTGGTAGCTTCAGCAAGGGAATCCATGTGAAGACAAGCTAGGAGGAACCTGACGCTACATGAGTGAACTGGACTAGGATGGTGAACTTTGCCTTACATGCCCTTTGCCCCTCCAATAACGCCGTTGATGATGTCATCGCGAAGGTCACCGCGACCATTGACGTGGCTCGCAAGATGGCCTCTTGACAGCCTATCAACTATGTAAGCTCCAATATCTTCATCGGTCGCGCGGATGAATAGGGCTGTACAGTCCTTGAATAAAGATCCTATGGAAGCGATGTTGCGGGAGGTGACCAGAAGGGATACACGATTATCAATGGACCGAAGGATTTTAACAAGAAGGTCGCGATCTTCGTCTTTTAATTCGTCCAGAGCGTCAACGATGATATACAGGCGCTCATACTGTTGCAGTTCCCGGGAAAGGTAGTTTCGTAGCTGCTCGAGGGATGGAATAGTGTCAAGTCGGCGGTGATCATCGTAGATAGCCTTGACAAAATCGGAAGTATAGCCTGACTCTTGGACTAGCTGTTTGAATAGCGCAGCAATTATCTGGGATACAGACTGCGTTTTCTGACTGCGGTAGTCGCAGAACACGTTCAAAATAAGCAGTCCCGTCATCTGCAGGTGATTGGTCGCGATAGATCTGAGAAATAATGAGCATGGAACATTGTTGATTGGAATTTATGAAACGCACGCGAGGACAGTCTTCCCAACGCCGGCTGAAGGTATCGTACATCTGTCAGAACATACGGCGACGGTCAATTAAAAACGAACATACGATTTCCTGGACACCATAGACAGCTCTCCGTTCCATCAACCCAACGAAGAAACTCTTCGGACTCGAGAAACCACCGTCCGGTGCCATCCACACGCCGTGAATATATTTCCGATTGCACAGCTCTAAAGTTCAACGGGGAAATCCAGCTGGTAATTTTAAGAAATATTTCTTCTGCGGAACTGTGAGGTTAGCCAAGACGAGTAACGGGACAAACGTACGGTTCTGCTTCTGATCGGCATTGTCTTGTAATTTTTCCATGGATCCCTCAATTTCAGAGATGCCACCTTCGAGTCGAAGAACGCTGCGCTCAACCCCAGCAGATGAGCTAGCAATTTGCTTGACCATCGTATCGACACGGGCCACGTCTTCGTGTATGGCTCGCGTCAAGGATCTGATGAAGTTGATTGAGAACGGCTACTGATGACAAGAGAGAACTCACATGTGGTCTTGCTGTACAGCAACCATCACTAGCGACTTTACCCTCTCCACCTTCTTTAACATATCTTCGGCATCCTCTTTACTGAACTTCCACATTATCCTCTCTACCAACCTTGTAGTAAATGTTCGGTGTCCCTCCGGCGCCAGTTTCCGCTTCAGATCTTCAAGGAGACTGCTCAACTGCCTGAAAGGTCCATCGGGAACGTTCAGTGCCCGTACGGTAGCCAACCATTCGGCTGTCGATGCGTCAGGCTCGGCGGCTGTTTGTACAAGGCTGTTGAGGGTCCCCAGAAAGATATTGAGCGACGTTAACTCCTTCAAGAGCTGGGTACGTTCCGCTGGTGCATTTTTGATGTCGTTGAGGCATGATATGACCGTCGCTGTTGCATCCACCAAGGAAATGAGGGCCGATGCAAACCCTATAGCCTCCATTGGTAATGGTGATGGTAATTGACGTTATCCTAGCGCCTATTTTATAGTTCGTTTCCAGCCTCAGGGCAGGAGGCAGTGCTGCTCACATGGCGCCCCATTCCCACAGTTATGAGATGCTCGGTGTACACATTATCAACGCGTAGCCTCCAGCATGGTCAGTAAAGGAAAAGAAGGGCGAATGGACATGTAGAGGAGGAGGAGGGAGGAGGAAGCCTTGGCGCAGCGACCGATCGCCCGGACTTTCCACATCTCCAACCTGATTATGGTGAGTTGCAGATATATGACCCCTTAGCTCAGTGGTAGAGCGTGTGATTCCAGCTTTGGTTTGATATCTGGGTGCAATCTTAGCGAAATGTCCTACGAAACCAATGCCACTCCACAAGGTCAAGCGTTCAACTCGCTTAGGGGTCATTTTTGCCCTCCTTTTTTTATCTTACTGGTCCTATTACCAACACATTCAGTGTTCACTTTAAGACAGAAAAGAAAGGTTTTGAATTGGGGAAGATTGGATATAGGCGTAATGATCAGCGAGCACCGGACGATCCCGGCGGAGTGAATATGCTATATAAATTAAGATAAAATAGTCCTTGGGAATAAGTACCTCACGATGAAATATTCTTCATAAAGCCAGCTTATCGGGCTACGATTCTAAGCTTACCCACTATAGGTTCGATGTCACTCGAGGACCTTCGGAACGGTAATATACCCTTACTTATTCTGGATACTTCCACGAGTCCCTCGCGATTGGCCCCCTGCTCGTGGTGATACTTGGATTTGGCTGATGAGTACTGAGGGCGAGACCGCTCCTCTAAAGCTTACTACCTATAAGCAAAGCATACTATGTTCACACGTAAACATATCACAAAAAAGCAGTATTCAGATATCTAATGTTTATCGACGTTCATCCAGTATGAACTCGCGTCATGGAGTGCGTTGAACAGTCTCATCAGGTATCACTTCCAATCGTACCGGCACCTTCCGTTCAGTCAAAATCTTCGTAATGGAATCCAGCGTCGAATCTGAAATATACGCATCCTGGCCGCAGACGACAAGCTTCACATTAATGAGATGGGGAAGGAAAGGTAACCATCCATCTGGTTGCAAAAAGGCTTCCACATTACGGAGGTTGCTGACTTCGAACATGACGAACTCCACTCCGAGGGGTTTGGGAGGCAGCATGGTGTCTTTGACTCCTAGGATTGCTTGTACTAGAAGGGAAATTAGCTTTCTAAAAAGAATAAATGCAAGTTACTTACGTTCTTTCTCGCCAAGCCCTACCTCTCTCGCGCGATCATTTTTACAGAGAATTTCCACGATGCGAACCGAGTCGAGGTCACTATACTCTGAGTAGCTTTGGATATCCAACCCATCCAAACCAAATGGCGAGATTATCGATTCCTCCCTGCTGAGATACTTCAAAATAGGGCCTACGCCATAATGGCTATCCATCCCTATCAGCTCCAAGACCTTCAGCCTCGTCCTTGCAGTCGGATCCGTTAGATCCTCCAGACGACTAGGCATAGCCTTCTCATGGTTATAGGAATGCTCCACCAGTAAATTGACTAATCGCAGCTCCTTTAGCACCAACAAATTGTCAATGATCCCTAGCAGCACTTCTTGCTCGATCAAACAATCTGCTAGGTAGAGCGCAGTCAAGTTGTGCACCCAGACGAAAGGATCTGTGGCTACCGTCTTATGTAGGATACGGCTCTGTGTGATATCGACATCAGAGAATCGACCGAGGACATGCCGCCATAAATTCAAGTTCATGCGTCTGACCGAATCAATTTGGAGGATACGCGGGTCGGCGGGGTAGAATTGTTCCCACGATGCAGAGCGGGTCGCGGGGATGGAGGTGCAGTCAGGGCCGAGAAGGGGCGGAGAGGGTGAGACTGAAACCATCCGTAGAGTGGTGAAGCGGTGCAATGGGAGGGGGAACATGAGACGTTCCAAGTTCCATGGGGTGATACGTTTGAGCTCGACGAGTTCTAGGACTTCGTACGATTCTAGGATGGTCTTCGATATTTTGGGATCGGAATACTGGAGTACATGGTAGAGTGCGGCGGCATCCGCGGGAGTGGTGATTGTCAATGTACGACGCGTCTCGGTGAATATCCGCTTCAAGTCTTCAAAGAGCCAGTGTATCCGAATTTGTCCGTCTTCGTCTTCGCCAACATCTGCAGGAGCGGGAGGAGGATCGGTCGCAAGAATGAGAATGTGATAGGCATAACTATCAGGGTGGGTGGCTAGCTGCGTCAAATCAAATTCGGATACGAAAGGAGCCCAAGGAATTGGGGATTTCGCGATAGGGGCATCGACAAGTCGGATTAAATCACGAGGTAACATGACAGGTGAGGAAAGAATGGATGAGGGAAGGAAAGAAAGAAGATGGTGGTAGAGTGTTAGACCTTTTATGTCGGCTAAGACAAAGGGGGGTTAATTTGGCGCAATGTTCTTTGTCCTTGACAGAGTGGCACTGGCGATTGCAATTCAGACTCAACGTGCATTGATAACAAGAACCCACGTACCCTATCCACCATCTTATTGTGCCATCGCAACCCGGCCCACACACGACAAAGGGAATGTCCCGTAGTAAAGAATCCAGTTCTGGATTGACAATCCATTCAACGGTCATTGGTTACACCATCGCAACGCGACCCTGCATCCCGAGCGTGTTTACGCCATGAGTCGCCTGCAGGTGATACCACTCTCAACGACCTGTCAAGTCTTCAGAGTCTACGAAGCACTGAGCAGGCCATGGATCTGGCAAATGTTTGATCGCAACTACGAGTTTCCACGACGTCGTACAGCTTGATGCTTTCTAAAGAAGAATGTCAATCAGCACAGTATCCAGATAACTTACAAGAAACATACGGGAACTATTCAATATCTCCGGCCCGTCAGCAGACAGCAACGAGGTGTAGGTTCATTGGCGGCTTGCGGATATTTTATCAATGTCTGTTCCGTTGCCAGAATATGGGGACATCGAATTGACAGTTGGCTTACAGTGCCAAAGACAAATCGTTAATTTTCAGATAATGAATGGAAGCGATGTCGGTGAATTTCTTTTGGCTAGCATTGCGGAGAGCACGATGAAGAGCATTAGGACCGAAATGCCGCAATCGCGCCTTGCCCGTGCACGTGGTCATCCACCTTCCTTCCCTCCTTCCATGGCAGCGATTTGGCTTCTCGCTCTCGTCTACTGCTTCTCACCTTGGACAATATCTCACTATGACCAGACGCTCTTTCTGAATAATGCCCTCAGCGAATATCTACCAGGCAGTGCGACGACGACATTGAGAAGGGAGTTTGCGGGTCCGATTTAGTGGGATGGATTCCAATCTCGACTACTTGTCTGTCAAGCGTTTTCAAAGCCCGCCTACGGATGACCAAGAAAGGGCTGCAGCTTATCGTTGTCAATTTTGTAACCAGGTTAGTCGTTTGAGTTGTTTTGCTTTCAAAGGTGGTGGTAACCGTTCAGCAGGAGCTGCAGTGTTCGTTCAAACTCTTGGCTGAATCGAATAAATTATAACTGGATACCACACCATCGCCCAACATACATCTGGAGATCGGACATCCTGCTATAACTACCACGATGTAGCAACGATATGTCATGACAATATCTTCTGACAATCGCAGTCCATTCAAGCGGTGTTTTGTCGACCTCCGAGTCTGTTTCTATATCGGGCGTTATGGAAAGGACGGCCGTTGTAACTGGTTGGAAATTTCAGGAATACTCCTGTGACCATGCCGTGCATACATCCTCTGGAGTGTCTGTAACAATAAAATGGCAAACATTGCATTGCGAGGAAATTATCCAAAATCTGGGAAGATAATAGTCGGGCACCTTCATGGTAGAACTGTGTTTCGAAAGTACGTCCGCCTATACGGGACATCACTTATTCAAACAAAGTACCTCTTCCCAGATGTATGACATATGGCCGTCCGAGCTTTGCTTCGTTCAAGACCGGTTTCCGCGCCGCGAGTATGTGCTTCATTATAAGTAGTAAAAGGGTTGCTCTGATGCGTTATAGGTGTGGATCAATTTCTTTCCTGACTTCATGTTCCCTTCTCGGCGCAATCGTGCAGTTCTCAAAATCAAACCGTTACCTCAGAAATCATAATGGAAGATTCCTCGAGCAGGGGCATTCAAGTTTCGAGAATTAACCAGCGGCCATTGCTCAATTATGCCGCTCATCATGCATCTCTCATCCTCAACAAGTATCTGGTGCTCCTGCGCAGGCTAATCTTCGGTAGACCGAAGTTCCATTCCGACCAGGGTACCCTTACCAGGTGTAGCGGATTAACTTCTGAACCTGCTTTGTAGAGCAGTCCCTCACCAGGGCACCGTTTCCACCAATTATGCTCCCACTGAGCCATATGAGACTTGGATCCGCACGACACGGTGGATAAAAATTTTGCAGAAGCGTGGAAATAGCCGCGCACATCAAAGGTTTCAAAATCGCGTTGACCCCTGCTTGCGGAATCCTCGTCAAGAATATTCTTGTCCGCCGTACCGCTACTTTCTGGACGTATCTGTTTGGTGTTTGCAAAGACTTCAGCAAATGTCAGATCAAGCTTTCTGCAGGTACATATCGTAATTCTGTATGAAAGCTATTTCTGACTCTGATCCGCAGAGTGTACGGTTTCATCCATTGCAATGCGGACTGTACCGGGCGCGCAACATTACCATTGTGTGGCTTGCTTGCCTGCGGCTTTTCAACTTCAACCATTGACCCGCCAGGAACACCTTGTGCCGATGCCCCGACGATAGGCTGATTATCAGATAATCTTCAAGTCACCCTGAAGACTAGACTCCATATCTTATCAAGCGGGCTCAAGGTCTAACCTGATTGTCGGGTAAATTAATTTCAACAACAGCCTGGGCGAACAAATCCCTTAATACTCGACTGGAGTTTGCGATGGGGTATTATCTCAGAATAGAACCATTACAACGCTGTGCGTGGTTTATTCCTTTCATTTCATCATACGACTCATTCCGTGTTCAGATCATTGGCGATGGAAAGGCTTACCGGAGATCTGCCTGGCATGACGAGGCTTTTGACTGATCCGCCTCTTCGCTCCTAATTTGTCCACTTCGTCTCACGACCGTACCACCCATAATTTGTATGGCCGCTTGTTTTTCCGCCGAAAGCGCTTTCGTATGCGTGGTAACCATGGCCTCGTGGTTATACCGGAACGCGGCGGAGGCTCGCTGGTATAAAAACTTGCGGGGAATATGAGCAAGCTCCAGTCATCCGTCTCCGCCTTCATTCGGCGCCTTTTCCTTCTCTTTTTTCCGTGTTCGCCATGTTACCAAGGCGTACTGTTCTAGTCTCCATTGCCGTGCTACTGGGTGCTGTAGCGGCCGATACAACATACGGTACGGACGCCTTGATTGCTCGCAGTTC